AACGACCATAAACTGAGCAGCCGTGGCAATGTTAATGAGGTGACGGCGTCGAGCCGCAAAGCAAGTTTGAACTGTATTACAGGCAAATAATACAGGCATATGATCAGAAACCGATATGTCACAAACATCTAACAAGCAAACCACAAGGTAAAATGAGAAAAAGTGTGTGTCAGCGTTCTTGTGTCTCTCATCTTGGTGGGTGGGAAGGCTGCTCCCCACAGTCCTCTAACATTCACTCAGACACTCACATTCACTCCTAAGGGGCAATTTGGAATGTCCAAATAACATAATATGCATGTTTTTTGGACATGAGGAAGGAGTACCCGGAGAGAACCAATGCAAACTCTTCACAGAAAGGTCCCGGTCCCAACGAGGACACGAACCTCAGGCTGTGAGGAAACAGTGCTAACCACCACACCACCGTGCCACCGACTGAAGAGTTTAACCTCCTGATACTTAAGCAATTGGTATGCATTTTTGCTTTTTTCAAAATATATGGGATTAGTAGGACCTAATAAGTTTAATAACTAGACTTTGTCATGGTACATGTAGTTTTTCTTCTCATAAGCTTAGTGGGTTTATCTTTATATTTAAAAAGTTTTTTTATATATTTATTCAAATGTTTTTGTAACTTGGTTTTGATGGTCCAAATGACTTATTTTCAAAATTTTAATTACACAATAAGAACATAATTGGTTAAAGTTGTATAAAACCATTTTACTTTAGATTTCAAACAGCAGTGTCTGTTAGCGTTGACTGTGACGCCAAGAGGTCAAAGTCGAAAGAAAAAAGAAGTGTCATGGTGAGATGCAAAAGAGATGCAAAAATGCAATGTCCTCATATGAGGACGCAGGGTCTCAGGAGGATGATTTAAAAAATGTTTTTGCAAGTCTGGTATTAATCATTTATCAAATTTATTTCTTTATATTCCCAAGGAAATATAAAAAATCCCAATTTCTTTGTTATTAATTGCCACAGTGATAGAAAATTGACCTATTAGATCTGCTTTCCTGCATACAACAACCACCAAAATTCAACATTACCTACTTGTGGATTTTTATTTGAACAATATAATTCAACAGAGAACACAATAAGGTCACAATAACTGACCTCACATTTTTCATTTTTTACGCAGATCTAACATAATTTACTGGGGTCATGAAACCAGATAATGGAATTCTAGGCTTTTGAACATTAGAAAAAATACTTAGAACTGTTTGCTCCATGGAATATTGCTTTATTTAAAAGTTAATTATTACAATTAAGGTGGTGGGTTTTAATTACAAGGACTACAAAAATGAGTTTGACCTTGTTAATCCAAGCTTTTAAATTGGGCAATTAAAAAGTATTGCTAGAAAATATGTGCCCTCTGACCACATTCCTCTCAGGCAGTCATCCCCAGTGTCTTTATTCCCATGTCCTTTTGCTTGTGACCTTCATCTTTTCTTGTCTTTCTTAATGTTCCAGACCATGTCCCCACATGACTACACGGCATATCCTCAGCTCAAACCATGACCAGGTCCTTTGCTGAGAGTTTGACAGTCATCTTGTAATAGTCTTTCACTTCCATTAGTATTTCCAAATGCAGGGATATTACAGGGTCAGAGCCCTTTTCTATGGGCAATAATTGCTGTCTACTGAGCACTTGAGCTGCTGCACCCACCTCATAAATTGTCATAAAGTTTAATATGAAATTACGTGAGGGTGAATCATAATGGATTAACAGGGTTGTCAAGGCTACTCTTAAAGGATAATCCATTGCAAACAGCTGATCACCTGTTAATATGTGATTAATAATACACTTTCCTAGTAATATAATTTGATTTTCCTTACAAAGCATTAGATTCCTCTCGAAATCCCAACTGACATCTTCTTTAAAGTGTTGCGTTAAATTGTTCTTACAGGAACTTCAGAGGTCATTATATGTGTTTGGGACTGCTAATTGTAGACAACGTGTACATGCTTTAAGGTCATCGGGACCGGCCAACTCAAATAATGTAATCTTATTTGTTATTTTGAGTTATCATAAAATTTAATTGGAAGTTAATAACTACATCTTTATGATATCAAAAAGGTAAGTGTCTGCCTTTCACCTGAAGAAGATATTTTAACTAGTATCATGTTGACACTGTTTTACCATGGTAAACTTTGAAATTTTCATTTATAATTAAATCTGAAAGCCTTTAAGGACAGAGACAGAGCTAACACTGTGTTGTGCAAGACTCAATATATTGCTTTGTCAGGATCCCTTGGTGTAAGAAATGTACACAGAGGGATACATTTTTGCTGTCAGTGCTGACTAGCTCTTTTCAAATCATTTAACCTAGCTGATACTTTTTGGCAAGACAAAAGGACATCAGCAAAATTGTATTTGAAGTTTTCCTGTTCTCAGCACAAGCCTTTTTATTCCTTATGTCAGTCTCACACAATTGCATCTAATTCACATGACAGCAACATCTTTCACACATTGCAAAAGTTTCAAATTAAGTGATTGCATTTTTTTTTTGTTAACAGCTATTTTGTCCGTCACAGGAAAAATTTAAGCATGTTGTGTGAAGGGGAACCTTGATCTACTACTGTGGGAACTGAAGAAGTGATATAGTTTAGATCCCTTATGATGATTAAAATAATTGGATTTAGTGTTCCCTCACCCGGAACACTAGATTTTACACGCTTGCACCCATTGAGCCTGGCTGGGCCCAGCCCGACAAGGCCACATGGGTCCCCCTTTCAATGGACTCACCACCCATAAGAGGGCCCGAAAGGGTCAGGTGCTATGTGGAACAGGTGACGGCCGGAGACGGGGACCTTGGCGAACTTATCCCCGGCTGCACAAGCTGACTCTAGGGACATGGAATATCACCTCTCTGGTGGGGAAGGAGCCTGAGTTGGTGTGCAAGGCAGAGAAATTCCGGCTAGACATAATCAGTCTCGCTTCGACACACAGCTCTGGCTCTGGAACCAGTTTTCATGAGAGGGGTTGTACTATCTTCTATTCTGGAGTTGCCCCCAGTGAGAGGTACCGAGCAGCAGTGGCCGTACTTGTAGCCTGTTCATTGGGATTCACCCCGGTGAATGAGAGGGTAGCCTACCTTCGCTTTCGGATGGGGGAATGGATGCTGAGTATTGGTGGCGCCTAACAGCAGTGCAGAATACCCACCCTTTTTGGAGTCCTTAGAGGGGGTGCACCTGGCGGAGTCTCCTGTTAGACGGAGCTTTAATTCCTGCCTCCAGGAGAGCTTTGAGTACATTCCGGGGGAGGTCGGGGACATTGAGTCTGAGTGGGCCATGTTCCGCACCTCCACTGTTGACGCGGTTTTAATGGAGCTGCGGTCACATGGTTGTCGGTGCCTCTCGAGGTGGTAACCCTATAGGGATGCTGTCAGGCCAAAGAAGGAGTCCTATCGGGCCTTCTTGGCCTGTGGGACTCCAGACGCAGCTGATGAGTATAGGCAGTTCAAGCGGCATGCAGCTAGAGTGGTTGCCAAGGCAAAATCTCAGCATGGGAGAAGTTCCGTCCTGGCCATGGAACACTGGACAAGCTCTATACCCTCAGCAGGGTCCTGGAGGGTGCATGGGAGTTCCCCGAACCAGTCCACATATTTTTTGTGGAGTTGGAGACGGCGTTAAACTATGTCCCTCAGGGAATCCTGTGGGGGATGGTCTTGGAGTATGAGGTATCAGGCCCTTTGTCACAAGTCAGAGCTTGGTTCGTATCGCCAGTAGTCAGACCCGTTTCCGGTGAGAGTTGGATTCCGCCAAGTTTGCCCTATGTCTCCCATTCTGTTCATAAATTCTATGGACAGAATTTCTAGGCGCAGCCCAGGTGTTGAAGGTGGCGGTCTTGGTGGCCTTAGGATCGCATCTCTGCTATTCACAGATGATGTGGTCCTATTTGCTTCATCAAGTCGTTATCTACAGCCGGGTTCGCTGTTTGCCGCCCAGTGCAAAGCGGCTGGGATGAGGATCAGTGCTTCCAAGTTTGAGACCATGGTTTCTCACCGGAAAAGGGTAGAGTGCCTGCTCCGGGTCGGAGGGGATGTCCCCTCCCCAAGTAGAGGGGTTCAAGTACCTCGGGGTCTTGCTTGCAAATGGGGGTAGGAAGCGGCAGATTGACAGGCGGATCGGTGCAACGCCGGCAGTAATGTGAGCGCTGTACAGGATTGAGAGAGCTGAGCTTAAAAGTGGAGCTCTCAATTTAACAGTCGGTCTACGTTCCCACCTTCATCTATGGCCACGAACTTCGGGTAGTGACTGAAAGAACGAGATCACAGATACAAGCCAAAATGAGTTTATTCTGTAGGGTGGCTGGGCTCTCCCATCGAGATAGGATGAGAACCGGGAGGGGCTCCGAATAGAACCGCTGCTCCTCCACGTCAAGAGGAGCCACTTGAGGTGGCTCGGGCATCTGATTAGGATACCTCCTGATCGCCTCCCTGGTGAGGTGTTATGGGCACGCCCCAGAGGGAAGACACAGGACACGCTGGGAGGACTATGAGGAACTATGTGTCTCGGCTGGCCTGGGAACACCTTGGGATCCCCCCGGAGGAGTCAGCAGAAGTCGCAGGGGAGAGGGAGGTGTGGGTTTCCCTGCTTCGGCTGCTGCCCCCGCGAACCGACCCCAGATAAGCGAAGGAAAATGGATGGATGGATGGATGGATATAGCTTCATTTTGACCATGCTGGACAGTTGGAGTCAAAAGAATTTTATTGCCATACCAGATCCCACTTAGCACTTAGATCCTGGTTTAGAAAGCCTAATAAATAAGTATAAAAAGAGCTACTTAAAGAACAACATGGATACAAATATAAACAGCAGAATAAAAATAAACAATTTAAACAGTTAAATAACTGAAGCTGAAATTGGCTTTGTTAAATGCCAAATACAACCATCTATGCATCTATGGTCAGTGGGTGGTAAAGACAGAGGGAGAGACAGAATTAGATGGGAAAGAAGTGGGAGTCCGCAGAATACGTCTTGAGTTCAGCAGTCTGACAGCTTCAGGGAAGAAACGGTTTCTGAGCCTCGTGGTTTTGCTCTGAATGCTCCTCAGGCGCCTGCCTATAAGGAGGGGCTAAAACAGTCTGTGTGCGTCTTTCACGATCTGGAGGGCCCTTCCTCTGCATCATGATGTGTAAAGGTACAAGGTGGTGGGAAAGCTGCTCCCCACAGTCCTCTAATCAGCCTTGTGCAGGTGCAGCGGATGCTCTCCACTGCTCATTGGTAGAGGCTTCCAAGTTCAGCTCTCCTAACCGAACAGGGAGTGTTGGCACTCCAGGTGAGGTCATCGGATATGTGCAAACCCAGGTACCTATGGCTGGAGACCACTTTCAATGCAGCTTCTCTGATGTGCAGGGTTGGGAGAGGGTGCTTGTCCTTTCTCAAATCCACCACCAACTCCTTGGTCTTCAGACCAAGCACAAAACCTGTTGAGTATATATTAGGCGGGGAAGGGTCCCATGGGCATCGTGCATCCCTACATTGTAATATGCCCTGCACTTGATACTCTTCCACATGCTCGATGGGATTGCTGGTGGCAAAGTGGCTCCGAATTTCCTGGGTGTGTGCGGCTTTGGCCCTCCCTTACCTGCAGTCAGTCCTTCCCTTGCCTCCCTGAGTGCTAATGCCTCCCCTGCCCTGAACACAGCATCCCCAGCTCCCAGCAGAGTTCTCACCTCAGTATTCAGCCAGGGTTTCTGGTTCAGGTAACAGATTATATGTCCTGGTGGTGGTGACATCATCAACACACTTGGAGAGGTAGCTGTAGACAGAGGAAGTGTATTCCTCTAGATCCAGCTCTCCCTTATATTCCAGTCTGTGCACTGAAAACAGTCCTGGAGCACAGATAACGCACCCCTGGGCCACACAGTGACTGTCCTCTTTGTTGAACTGATCTGTCTCAGGAGTGTCCTTCAGTTTCACGTGATCAAAGTTCCCTCCAATCACTTAGAATATCTCCCTGTGCTTTGTCTGCAGCATCTAAAGGTCATTTAATGCTTAATTTTCTATAACACTGGGCAGGATGTGAGCAATAGTAACAAACACTGTGTTAACTCCCATGGCAGAGAGAACCGCCAACATTTCATGTTCACAAGTACTATCGCCTCAGAGCAGTAGCTTTTTTTTCAGTCCACAGTTTGAACACCAACCCTCATTCATGTAGGCTACACATCCTCCCGACCGTTCTCTGTAGAAACACTCAGCTTCAATATCCATAATAAGTCCACTTTTTTACCATTGATATTAGCCAGAAAGAGTGTCGGAATCGATGGCCTTTAGCTGGGCCATTGCACACGCCTGCTTTCCTCTCTTCTGTTTTCAGACCCACTGTCTCCATTTTCCCTGTACTCTGCTGCGCCACTCTGTTTTCCTCAGGAGTTGCTACCTTCCAAGGGCGGATTTCAGCCTCAGTGTAATAACCAAACTGTCAGTTTGGTTGAGCCATTCTTTACATGTGACTTTAGCTCAAATCTAGTGCTAAAAACGGCCTCAAAGCTCTTTAAATAAGGCATGGTCCTGGAAACCATGGCCCAGTGCACCACCGTCTTGTAATCCAGTTCATCATATTTATTATTAAGGTTGTTTTTGATTGCTTTTAGAATGAATATGATTTTCATGTGATAAAGATTTGTGACCATTCATAAGAAATGGATTGTCAAACTCTCCTGCTACACAGTTTAGGTGAGTCATTAAAATCTGAAAAATGAATTGAACTCCTCTTTTTCACAGCATTCCCACAATAAATAATTCTAATCCTTGTTTGCCACAGCGCATCTGAATCTGCTGATGCATTTTTCATTTAGCGCAATCTCCATTAGATATGCTGATAGATGTTTCTGACACTTCAGGAGAGGATTCTCATACATCCACACAGGCATGCTTATTAACAAAGATAAGCAGAGAGAAAACACTAACAATTCACCCCCCTCCACCCTCTTTCATGTCTACAAGTTGACAGCAATCATCTAGCATTTCACACCTCGAAGCCCAAACAGACACGCCAACACAGTCAGGAAAGCTGACCTAAAATCAGAGATACATTTCCAAAATGAATAATGGCAGGTTTTAGACAGCCAACCTATCCCATCGTTATCTGCACCCTTCACTAATAAATAAATGAGGGATGCAACAACTACAATAGTGACAGCACTTCATCTTGTTAAATAATTAATCAAACAGTCAGGTCTAAAGGAAGCTACAACAGCCTTAGAATTAGTTTGGATATTGGAAGGAGAATGTCTCATGGAAAAATGATTTACAGAAGTTTCAGTTGTCTTTATTGCACTTGCTGCACATTTTTATTCCAAGACAAAACTTTCCAGACTTAAGTCTTAATAATTGATCATGGTATATTGTTTTAAAATATAGCAGTCCAGCAGTCAGTAGTTTAGCACTGTGGCCTCACAGCCGAAGTTTCCCGGTTTGTATCCCTTGAGGGATGGTTGCATGTATTAGTGGAGTTTGCCTTTCACCCAGTGTTAGCTGGGAAGGGCCCAGCCTCCCCTTGGCCCTACATAGAAATTGAAACCAGATTTATTAACTGGTCTTTGTTTTTCCAAAGATCCTATCAAATGTACCAAACAGAAATAACTCTATAATTTTTCAGAATTCAATCAGTGTACTCAGCATGAGGTATATTTTAGAGGCCTGTTGACAGATTCTCCAAAGCCTTTTGCTGTGAATATATCTACAACATATAGTGCATTATTAAGGGACACACAGTTTAGTTATGGCAGACAGAAAAAAGCAAACAAACTGTGAGTTCATCGTCATCAGAGTTTGCACAAAGACATAATCATCACATTTTCCTCTTTGCTCTCTTGTGCCTTTGATGTTTACAAAAATGCATGAACAAGCCCCACTTTGAAAGCCATTCCAAATAAACGCTTCTATTGATCTGTTGTTTTGCCACATAATTATCTCAGAGGTGTAGCTCTTTCAAAAGTTTTAATGGACCTTGCCAACCATGCTGGCTGGTAGTTATACATGACAACAATTATTCAAGCACAATAAGTTGGAGACAAAATATAGCACTCACAGTTGCCAAGTGCAACAGTCTCCAGTACAATCACAAATAGACTTTCGCAATTAGTTGTCTTTATTACCTAACGGCTAAATCTTAGCAATAAGAATATAACACATTCCTTTAAGAACTTTTGGGTTAGGCTTTATCTCTGTTGCATTCAACCCTCTGTTCAGACCAACACGTTTGTAAATGTCAATCAAACTGTTTTTCAATTTCCTAGCCTTCCTGCCCTGGGCTCTGGAGATGGAAAATTGCCATCCTGGGTTTACAGTGCATCATGTCCACATTCAGAGAAAACTCCACAGATGCTTTGTTGCCATTACCCACGACCCATATTTCTGTAAACCCCCTTCATAATAGCAGGTCTTAGCAATGAGTGGGAGGTCTGATATTACACTGAACTTGTTGTTAATTGTCTAAATATTTTTCTCTGCTTTCTTTTCCATGGTAGTAACCCCCGTAAAAATGTTCTGTGGTTAATTTTTCAGTCTACTGGCGAGCATACATTTCTGTATGGCGAGCATATCAATTTGGTGCTGTATCAGTGATTGTTTTCATTTGAGATTTAATGACAAAAGGACCTAGAACAACATTCAAAGAAATGGAAAGTCTCTAAATTCCCTCAAAAGATGTGAAGGTTGACTTGGGATATTAGAAATGGAAGCTCTATAATATAAGTATGAATCTTCATGAAGCTTTCACATGTCGATTAAAAAATGCATACTAACATATATGTTTGCAGGACATTTATTAATGTTTAGAACTACAGGGTTTTTCTCATATGGATATAATTCTGAAGGACTATAATATAAGGTTGTATAAAGTATAATTGAAAAAAATACTGTACCATACATCCTTACATAAGACCATAATGGCAAAAATTGAACTTTTTTCAGAAGGTATAACACAATTACACTGTATATTTATAGCAACCATATACTTTACAGCTATCTTAGTATTATTATCATTATCATTTGTAAGAGGGCACTTGCACTCATGCAAATTATCAACAAATTAGTTATCCTATAGGACATTGATTTTTAGCAGCAAACTGAGATCCAATAGGAATTTTTACGAGAAAACCCTGGTCAAACAAAAAAGCGAAGCAGAAATTCTATTGGGAATTGATGTAATTTTTTTTTTTTGGGTGAAGCTGTAAATGTGACAAAACATTCATGCCACAATATACCAGCATTATGTAGGGTCAAATAAAACTAAAGTAACAGGAGTGGATGAGGCCAAAATCCATCTGACCTTTACTTCATCGTGATGAAAACCACAAGTGCTACAGCAAAACCAGGGAAAAAATTATGAAATGGTAAAACATACATTTGTATGACAGAGTATTAGGGCACATTAAAAAAATAAAATAAATAAATTACTACATTAAAGTCATTCTTAAATATGGTGAGAATAAATTAGGAGTTTTAAGTCTTTATTAAACATGGCGAGAATAAAACCCCCATCACAAAAGCCATGCCTGGTTCTTTTGGCAGAAAAGATGCATTTTATTTAATGTTCTTTTTAACGCCCTGATACTTCTGGCAATCTTATTCTGATCTGCGAAAATATGAAGTATCTACTTGTTTGTGAAACCTATTCTAATGTACAGTTCCATGAATTCCATGCTTCACAACCCTAATTTTATCGACTCTCCTCTTACGACTTTGATTTGTGATTTGTTCTCACCATATTTAATAACAGCTTTAAACTCGTAATTTATTCTCGCCATATTTAACAACATTTATAATTTTCTTATTAATTCTCGCCAAATTCAATAACGACTTTAATCTCGTAATAGATTCCTTTTTTTTTTTAAATGTGGCCCTAATACTCCATCATACATTTAAAACATTGTCTATTGAATATAAATCAATGAATTGGCAATGTGATTGCATATGTAAACTATATTCTCATTTATTTATAAGTCAGCCCTTTTTAAGTTATGTTTATTTCTGTTTTATTCATTCTTACATTTTTGGGAGGATGCTACTAGGGGGACACACAAATTGCTTAATTAGATATGGTTGTGGTATGTTATGGACAAAAGACACTGATGGAATTAAAGTTAAACCTTTAACACATATGTGCTCATAAGATTTATCCCAGTTTCCTAAGAATTCAAATTAGAAAAAATTAAGTAAGCTTCTACAGTTTTATTAGACAAAAAATATGTAGGGGGTATGTAATGTATTTTAAAGCCATCTTTCTCCACTAAGTATGTAACATTTTAATAGGTAAAGTATGAGGAGGACGAGCCTTGGTCGACAGGACCCCCTCACAGCAGCTGCTGGTGCAGATGTAAGGTGACAGTAATCAATACTGATTATAAAAGTGGGAGAACCATCTCTGTGGTGTGATTAATCTTCATTCCCTTGTGTTTACAGAGCCTCCTCTGGCCTGTTCGCCTCAAAGGGGAGCTCTCCCCATTATCTATCCCCAGAGACAGGAAAAACAAAACACTGTCACCATTAAACATATTCACTGTCACAGTAGAGGAAAGCACACATAAGCGGACTGTGGGATAGATGCCACACTTGTAGCCGCAACAAAGCAGTGTGAAACTCAAGTACAGATTGCATTGACTATGTGAAATGCGCTTTTACAAAAATCATTGTACAATTGCTTACAATGAAAATATGGTTGAAGCATTTGAAATCCTAGCCATTTTGGAGAAGAATTAAATTGTTTTTTTGTATTTTTTAATCAACAATCAAGACTTGCTTTCGTGTTTGTGTTTTTGGCTACATACTTTGTAAACCCATAATTCATTCTCATCACTCCTCAAACGCTTTAGCCATAATTAATATTTTATGTTGATATTTAGAGATTCAACATCCAAGTAATCAAGGCATGATAGTTAGTTTTTTCTTCAATTCTTTAGGAGAAATTGTTATTAATAGAGCTTATATCCTAAATCTATGCAAAAATGCAATCCAGTTAATAACCTTGCTCTTAACTAACAACGTATATTTGTAACCTTGCCGTATGACAGCTATTGTGAAACAAACTATTCATCATCCTTGCTCCACAGCATCTACAATCAAATTCAGGT